TTTGAGGGGCTTCACAAAGATGAGGGGGGCAAACTATTTTCCAAAGCACCAGAAGGCAAAACAAGAACCAATGGATGAAAATTAATTAAGAGAAGCAACCCAGAACTTAGGAGAAATTTCCTAATAGTGAGAACAATCAACCAGCAAAATAGCTTGCTTTCAGAAGTTGTGGGTGCTGCATCACTGGAGGCTTTCAAAAGGGGACTGGACAACCATTTATCTGAAATGGTATTGGGTCTCCTGTTCAAGTGGTGTATTGGACTATTAGAAGACCTCCAAGGTCCCTTCCATCATCATCATCATCATTATTATTATCCAATCCCAAGTCTGTTTGGATGGATGGATGGATGGAAGGATGGAATGAATGAAGGAAGGAAGGAACGAAGGAAGGAAGGAAGGAAGGAACGAAGGAAGGAAGGAAAACTGAGAATATCATCCAACAACTATTCACATTGAGTCCCACTATCTATTTTCTATATTTTCTAATGCATATACACTGGTTGAATATTAAAAATATTTGTTTCATGATTCTGCTGCCCAGAGGAAGTTAGCAAAATAGATTTGGCCAAAAAGTTAAAACAATATCAAAGAATTCTGAAAAGCCCTAAGATTAAGTACAGGACTATTCAATTCTCATTACTTTTTATTAGCTATATAAACAATGTTTTTCTAATACATAAATTTTTTACCAATATTGTTCTGAATCAAATACTTAATATGTTTGCATTTTTCCTTAAGATTAGATATGCATTCAGTCACATACCAAAAGCTCCTAATTTTTGTGCCTTTTTAGAGCTTTTGTTTTCATCTCAGGTTTATTTCTTTTCTGAATTATAATTTCACATTTTAATGTTTTGTTTCTTCAATTTAAGTAAAAAGAAAATAATATCCAATAAGGTTTTTGGAATGCTAAGAGTAACCAGCCATAAGCAATGCCCACAGCCTACTGGGGCCTCTCCTCCCAGACTTATGGTTATCCATATCACATTGTAATATATCTTGACATGTGGCAAGTTAATGTAAATGAAAAGTTTGCAAAAGCCCAGGGGTGGCCTGCAGCAGTAGGCATCACTGATATATTTCCTTAGTGACAAGAGTGAGACAACATTTCCTTTTTCTGAAGTAATGTTAGAGATTCCATGTTTTGTGTGCAGAATATTGGTGCCAGTAAATCCTCCATCACAGGTACCTTTCCAGTCTCGGAGCTAGTTCATATATTACATTATTAAACCCATAAGATTTTTTCCTGGAATTATTCATATAGCAGGAAGTGGGAAGATACTGGGTCAAAGCTGGTCCAAGAAAAGTTCTCTGCATTAAGACAATAACAATCTCCATTTGCAATTCTATATTTAATCTTTTGTTTCTCCCTGAAGGTGGCAGGCATTTTTAGGGAAAACTACCAGACTGCCTCCTCTAAATTGCAAGTATCTGTCAATTTATGACCACTTGTTCAGAGACTGTTCAAACTTGCAGGAGCACTGAACAAGCAGGACTTATAATCAGTCCTTGGAGTTTTGGCCCTTGTAGCTTCCCTCGGGTCACATGAACACGATCCGGGCACTCAGTGCCTAGTGCATGATTATGTCACAGTGTCCCACAGTCACATGATAGTCATTTTGCAGCCTTCATGGCCAGCTTCTCAGAAGAAAAGTCAATAGAGAAGCCAGCAGGTCACAAATGGCAAGCCATGTGACACTTAACAACCTGCAATGATTCATTGAACAACAGCAACTAAGACTGCCAGAATTGCCAGAATTGCCATTGCTAAGTGATGCAGTCACGTGACATCATGCTTCATGAAAATTCCTGTCCCAACTGCTGTCATAAATTGAGGACTACCTATTCTGAACCGGCTCCCTGAACACAACAGACGCACCAATAAATCTCCAATGTTCCTTTTATTCAGGAACGCCAGCAGTTTCAACACAGCCAACTATTAAAGTTTTTAGTTGCCTCCAAACAACGAAGCTCATTCCCTTTTCCCCTGCAGGGGCCTCCCAAACACCCAGAGTTAATCTCAGTCTCTCACCACGCTTGCAGCAAGAGTCCTTCAGGCACGCTGGCTCTCTTCTAACATAAGACACATGCACATGCTCTGACTTCCAGTGCCACAGGATCCGAGAAAACTTTGGCAGGTTTCCAAACAGGAGTTCCAACTAGAAGTGGCTGGCCAGCAAGGAGATGAATAGTTGTCTGCCACACCTATTTGTCTCCACCCCTGCCTTTTATCCACAGCTGAGGGTGGGGCTCTGTTAGCAGCAGTGGCTCTTCTTCCCCAAAGACCGGCCCATAGCCTCTCACTGTTCTCCTCTCCTCAATCACTGGCCCAGTGGTGGGATTCAAATATGTGAACAACCGGTTCTCTTTGTGGATGCCACTTCTGGAAGTCCATTCTGGGCCTGGGCAACAAAAAATTAGCTACCTGTTCTGCTGAAGTGGTGCGAACTGGCTGAATCCCATGTGATCCTCCTCTCCTGAATCACTTGCCTCAAGGCATGGAGGTCTCAGCCTTTCCATCTGGGGGCTGGTGGACAGCCCACCTCTGTCCCTGGCTTTGACAGCTCCATTCCTTCATCCTCATCAGAGCTTTCAGATGGCCCTGATGCTGGGCCCCAATGCTCACTCCTGTGCTTCCTCTTCTGAGTTGGCTGTGAAGTTCTCCCGCAGCCGACAGGCCACAACACTGTAATGGTTTCCAAATAGAGTTTTCCAAACTGTATATGAAGTAGAGGTCAACCACCAAAGGCCTGCAAGAATTCTGGCACCTGTGCCAGAGTATACAATTGAATCTGCTCTGGTCGGATCACTGGGAAAGACTCTGCTGAAAATTCACTCCTCTTACTGAGGTTCATGGTGCATGACTGAGATGGCATTCCTTTTCAACAATAGCCCCCACTTTGTGGAATTCTTTCCTAAGAACTATGTTCAGCATCTTGCTGCAATTTAGTAAACAAGATATTCCAGTATGATTTTGATCCCAGCTCACTTATCATGTTCACTTATCTTGGGTTTTATCTTTGCTTTGCTTTTGTAGATGTTGTTGTTGTTGTTTTGAGCAGTTTTACATTAATTTGGATTTGCTATTGATTATGTTTTTGGTTGATGCTATATACTACTCAGAATCTTTTGGGGTTGGGAAGGGAAAGGTTAGAAGTACTGTAAATATATATAAATGCATACTCTGGAGATAAATTTGACTATATAAACAGCATTCTCAGAGCTTCCCAAAGCCTTCAGACCATAAACAGCAGTCTCAGTGGTGAATTCTGTAGGCAAACCATTATTTTATATATAGAAAATATCCTTTGATGTATTTATGCATTTCATAATCCAGAATATCTACTCAAAACAACACAAATTTAGACAGTTGTTCAAAGTAAGGAGTAGGAGATAGCACCATATTTATAGAAGAGTAGACATTGAAATATATGAGCAAAGTTGCTGAAAGAAATTCTCATTTCTCAGATGAGATGGCACCAGATTTGGCTACAAGGAACTACCACAGAACTTCTCTATTCCTGCTATTGTTTTGCACAGAAGCCATTCAGTTTTGTCCTGTTTGTCACATAGGATATCATATAATGTACTTTAAGGTCCAAGTTGGAAACTCAATGGCAGCTTTAGGTTAGGGAACCTGTAGTAATATCAAGAAGCTGGTAGGAGGGACAACATTTTTGTTGATTTCTAATGCAACACTTCCTACATTATTGATGGGAGTCTTGTGGTTTTGATGGCAACTGAAAATCACAAGATAATTGTTCACTCACATTCTTGAACAACAATTGACAAAGAATACCTCACACAGCATTTAAATGTACCACAGCCAATCTGTATTAGACAAATGTCAATGCTGTATAGGGTTAAAAGATAATTCAGCAGTGCAGTATAGTCCCCAAGTCAAAGTGAGAATAAGAAATGTGAATATGATTTTACAGATTAACTTACAAGCAGTTAACAAAAGGTCTATCAGAAAAAGTATTCCAAGTAGGATTACTGCTGACCAGATATGCACAGAGCTTTCTCAAGGCAATGCAGCCTATCTATGCTTCCCAGCAACATGATTTACATCAGATAATTTCCAAAGGAGTCAGGGTAAGAGGTACACTCTGGGAATGGGTCTCAAATTCAAATCATCAAAAGTGCCTCTTACGCCCTAGTTCACAAGGTCACAAATTGAGGGCTACAACAGTGGGAAAAAAATTCCAATATTGATACAAAAATCTTCAATGATTCAAAACTGAAGAAATGAAGAGTACAACAGTATGCTAACAAACATAACTTTATTGCAAAAGAAAGCCATTTCACACTGGTCATTTAATTGCCAGCCTTTTTATTAACATCAATTGGACTACATTTTTTGGTTTTATTACTGGGATGATATGTAAAATATTTCAAGGTTGTGCACTGCATAAAATGTCTTTGAGTGTGTGTATAAGTTTGAGGAACCTGCTTTAGAAATCAAAACATCAGAGTCTTCATACAATACCAGGCTGGAACCAAACCCTGAGTATTTTATACAAATAACATACAAATAAAAAATGAGATTTATTCCCAAGTAAGTATATGTTCTTCTTCAGTACAAAGCAGCATAATTTAATTTGCTCCAAAATCACACAGATCTCAGTTGAGATCTATTCTCAAGAAATATACAAGAGATCCTACGTACATTTATTTAAAAAAAGACGTTTGTTGTTCTTTCCCAGTTGGTACCCTCCAGATATGTTTGGCCTACAATTTCAAGCCAATTGAGCAACGGATTATGAATACCTGTATTAAGTGGCAATGTACCGTATTTTCCGGTGTATAAGACGACTTTCTAGAGCCTGAAAATCTTCTCAAAAGTCAGGGGTCGTCTTATACACAGGAATATACGGGTAGCTGTTCTCTGAATTTAAAACCAATCTGCCCCCTAGTGGCCAGCCCTATTTTTTTTACAGAAATAAGCACTGACAGGACAAAGCTTTCTAGCAGCAAAGGAGCTCATCTATAAACAGAAATTCAATATTGTACTGTATTTTCTGGCGTATAAGATGACTTTCTAAAGCCTGAAAATCTTCTCAAAAGTTGGGGGTTGTCTTATACGCCCAGTCGCCTTATACGCCGGAATATACGGTAGACTATTAATAGTTCCCTTCCTGGAATGGAAGACAAAAAATAGGGGGGATGTCTTCCTTTTCATTTTATGTCTGTCTCTATACCATTTGCTGTAAAACTGTTCTTTAAAAGTACCAAGCAAATAAAAGTGAAAGGGGCTTATCCATTAGTTCACATTTGTGCTGTTATCCCTTTGATAACAAGCTCCAATGCCAGTAAATAAGAAGAGTAGCAAAGAGATCATAGAACTACCATGTTTGGGTAAGGCAATGGCTTCTGATCAGAGGACCAGCCACAGAAGTATCCTGGATTATTTGTTTTGCAAATGATGTGGCCAATATTGCTGAAAATTCTGTTGCAGATGCCCAGTGCCAGAGGCTGCTGTTGTAATAACCTGATAAGAAAGAATTGTCTTGTAACATTGGCAATTTTTCATAGCCTTCAGATCTCTATTGTTGACTGCGCAATAAGAATATTTAAGAATATTTAACCACCGCTCCAAAATGGTGGTTATGAAAAGTTATACTAAGTTTCAGAACTGTACCCAAAACTTTTTGCCAATGAATTCATTCAAAACTGAATTTGATGGAGAAGCTATAGTGGATTCCTGAAACAATTGGAACACTTAAGTTTTCCCATACATTTTTCTCTATTTTTCAATATATACAGAAAATATACCTCTAGGACAAGAGACTGGGGCTACAAAAGCCATTGTCTCCCTCCTGGCTAGTCTGCAGCAAAATGTTCAGTTGGATCGATCTTTCCCAATCTTGTGCTATCTAGATTTGATGACACCCCCCTCCCTTTCCATTATTAAGGGATTATTAAAAGGATTCTAAAGGAGTATTAGAAGGATTCACATTGTTCTATTGATAACTTTCTTAGGTTGCTGTTTATAGCGTATTACAATATAGTTTTATGTCCTGAAACTCCTCTTTCTTAAACTCCGCCCCCCACTTTACATGTGTAAACTCACATACCTGAGCAGGATTGAACAAAGGAACTGTCCCTTCTGTGTGGGGTAGAGGCACACTATCAGGGTTGTACTGATGTCTGAAAGAACTAGTCTGAAATATCAAGGGGGAAATTATTAATTGTCAAGAGTAGTCAAGAAAAGCAAGAAGTAAGTTACCTACAACTTCAATCACTCAAATGCCAATTTGGTTTCTTCAATATATTTCTGAATTTCACATCCAATAAGCCTAAATCAAGATTATTATGGATACTGTAACTGAAACATTGGGAAAGTTCATGGTAACCTATCACTGGAATGTAGTGTACCACCAAATGTGAAGTTCCCACAACAATTGGCTTGTTCTTTTTCCAATCTGGATTGCCAGAAAGTCTGTTTATTAGACCTCTTACCTCCCCAATGACATTTTTTTCCAAACCAAAGGTTTCATTTTGAATTCCACATCTCACCTGATCACCAGCATCTGAAACGATGGTTGCTTCCATGCTGCTAGGGCCTTGTGAATTTTGAACTTCTGGAGAATTAACAGATATTATATATTTTTCAAAAGTAGATCATCATGGCTCAGATTTAAAGTAGCACTGTAGTACAGGTAGTCCTCGGGGTCATATAGTGCAATGTCAGGTGACCACGCAGAATTACAACAGTGGTTATGGCAGTCCTAGCTGTATTGTTAGGCAAATCTCACAAGGTGGTCATGTGATTACCATTTTTGACCTCTTGCCACCTTCTTGCCAATGACTTTGTTTGTCAGAAGCAGTAGTGAACATGATGTTGATGTGTCCACAGGATACTGTGATATTGTAATTGAGAGGACCAGTTGCCCAAAACCCAAATCAGAATCACATGACCATTGGGACACAGTCACAATTATGAAGATCCATCATATTTCTCCCCTTGCTCAGCACTATAGTACGTTTGAGAGGTCTTCCAGTGAGGACTGCCTATGGGAAGGGTACTTTTCTACTGCATCCCCTTGATATCAAAATCCTTTAGTTTTCCCTATCTCCAAGAACCTGATATCAAATGTTGACGGGTATACCAAAAATTGGGGTTTCATTATGTACAAAAAAGAATATGAAATGCCAAATAATAATAATAATAATTAATTATTATTATTATTATTATTATTATCTGCCCATCTTGTGGTTCAAAGCAACAGAAAATCTTTAGTTACAACTAAACTAACAAAATATTGATCAATTCATTCAGAAGCATGCAGGGTTATATTTACCTGGAGATCTCTTGGAAAAAGAATTGCCTTGTGTGGGAGAAAGAGGAGGAAGGCAATGATGTTGATTCATGGGTGAAACCAAAAGGGACTGAATGATTTTCTCCTAGAGAAGGAAAATATATAATAGTGATAAAATAAATTGCTGGCTATCACCTCCAACCTTCCTGTGAAGATTGTGGAACATGCTTTCCCTTGAGATCTGGCAAGCTCCCATTTTTCCTTAAATCAGTGAAGAATTAGCATTTCTCACACGCTGGGATAGAAAGATTGGAGCCCAGAGACCAAGATTGGGTGTGTGTTTTTGTTTTTGTTTTCTTTTTTGTATTGGTTTATTGTTTGTGTTTTTAATACTGATGTTCACTACCCAAAGCTGCACTTACAAGATGGTTGACCATATGCATCTTTTAAATAAATAAATAAATCCTGAAATATGAAGCAACTATTTGACAGCGCACAAGACTCCCAGAAGTCCTAGAAGAATGTGAGCTGCCCAATAGTTAGCATTAGTTGTTATGCAGGGGCCCAGCTTTAGGGCAGGTTTGCTCTTCCTTTGGTAGTTCGAAGGACCGTGCACCAAAAGAGTTTTAAAATAAAGCAAAGGACCAAGATAGCTGTGATAGGGCATTACAAAGAAATATATAATTTAGATGCTGCAAGTACACTTCCATTGCATTTCCAATTTTCATTTTTTGCAAAGGGAAATTCAAAATGAAGCAAACTGATCAGAAGGTCTTTTTCCCACTGCTACTTTGTGAGCTCAGTCTGTTCATTATATTGGAAAGTTCCTTTTTACTAACCATTATTATTCAAAATGCTTTAGGAATGCAATTAATTCATACAACTGAAAGAGAGAGAAGCAGGATCAATGTGGGAAGAAAGAACTGATACATCATGAACATCACCAGGGCTGACACTTGTTGATACAAAACATCTCTCATTTGTCAAGATTTTGTGCCTGTAATAAAATCTGTAACCACATCTGTAGCCATAGTGTGCTCAGTGTGGGGCTACTAAACATATTTGGTCTTAATTGGACCATTTGAAGGGGGAAAAACTCAATGGAGTGAGGAGTATTTCTGAGAACTCCTAGGTTCTCCTAAGCATGACCATCTTATTCTTGATGACACCATTTTACCTATAACTGCTGTAGCACACATCGGCTGACTTAATTATTCTTATTTTCTGATTCCCCCCCCCAAAAAAAGAAAGCTAATTATATGCCATCTGGCTGTACGTTTACTTCAGAAACTGGCCAATTTAGCCAAGAAATTGAAAGTTAACTTCAGGTTGTTGTCATGGAGATTCTATCTCAGTGCCTGAAAGTTGTGAGGGCTCGAGTTGAGTGCAACAGGCTTCAGTTCAACCCAAACAAGACTGAGTGGCTTGAGAATTTTGGATCTCCTAGAGCTAAGGTCCTCCATCTTTTGTCCTGCATGGTGTAGCACTGCCTCTGACAGCTGTAGGGGTCCTCTTGGATTCAAGGTCCTGCTTGAGTAGCAGATAGTAGCCAGTTACCATATCACTACTCTTCGAGCTACTTTTACTACTGCTTTGCTTCTAGATGCAATTGTAGGTGTTGGTTGTTACCTTTAAAGCCCTTCCTAGCGTGGGAGCAGGTTACTTATGGGAAGGTCTTTTCCTGGTTGTTTCTACCCATCCTGCCTAATCCAGCAACAGAAGTATGCTCTTGGTCCCATCAGGGTGACGGCTGCCAAGGAGTAGAAAAGTTTTTCCACTGTGGCATCCACCCTCTGAAACATCATCCCTCCAGAGATTAGCATGATCCTGACTCTGCTGGTCCTGCTTTTGTGCCAGAACCCAAAGGCTCTGGGTATGTTTGGAGCCCATCTCTTGCTTATGTTAATGATTGTTCATGATTCCAGCTGCTGCCTCTTTTATCTTTTTCATTATATGTATTTTATTTAATGTTTAGCTGTTTTTGTTGTAACCATCCAGAGTCACATTTGTGAGAGGGCAATTATTTAAATCAATATATTTAAATACATATAATTCTTATTTGCCACTGCTTTCTTTTGGATCTTTTCTGACTTCCCAGTTTAGCTTACAGCCCCCCAAAGTCCTAGTGGTTTCCATCCAAGTGTTAACCATATTCAACCCAGTCTTCTGAGATTACTCAAGATTGCCCAGGTGTTGCCTGCTGTTGTATCAATAACTGCATTTATTAACAATATTATTATTCCCACACAAGAAAGTGCAAAGCAATCAATAAAAATAAGTATTTCTTTATCTCTAGGTCCTGAAGAAACAAAAGAACTGAATTAAAACAATGCTAGAGAAAAATTAACCTTGAAGCCAGGATAGATGGAAGAGAAAAGAATCCAATAAATCTTTAACAACATCATAAATATTAACAAAACACTCACAGTGGGAACTGAAGGTCCTATGCGGTATATACAAAGTTGGAAATTGAGGTGGGAAAGCAAACAGACAAAGACTAAGAGAAGGACAATGGAAGAGAAGACGACCAATACAAGAGACAACATATGAATAATGCATCTGTGAATTTTTATTTAGACACACCAACTGCAGGGTGCAAGAAGGAAAAAAGAATGTTCCTTCATGTGAAAACCTTTCTGCACAAACAAGAAATGTCAGAGAGGATCCTGCCAAGTTTTCACTTTGGCATGCTGTTTTTCTATTGGCAAACAGACTGTGACATTCATTTTTACCTACAGTTGTTCTTTTTTTTACTTGGGTTCATTAGGGGTGCTCTAAAGTTTGATCCTCACAGTAGTTGAAAGTGATACAATCTGACAAAAGCTTTACTATTTGATTCTGTTGAGCATACAAGCTAATCCTTAAACTTTTTTTTGTGTCAAATGAAGCTGTCATTTCCAGCCTTTCCCTTGTAGTTCAGTCACCCTCTCCCCATCACATAAGCCTCTAGCAAATATAATGCAAGACTCCCAAAGCCTCCAACAACTCCAGTATCTTACTGGTTTCCTATAAAACACAAATGTGCTGTATAAGCAATAGTGATCCTGCTTTTTGTATTCAGCCTTTCTAAAATGATAGATCTAGGATAATATTTTCAAGCTGGGTGTTCCTTGGATACTTTCAGAACTGCTGTCAGTTAAAAGACCATTCATGGTAGCTCCTGCTGTTTGGCTAGATTCTGCTGCTACTGAGAAACACTAGGAGATTTTTCTGAAGAGGACACATCATTGAACACACACACCCCAAAACACCCCAAACTCTTTCTTCTAAAAAGTTTCTTTGTTACCTGAGAAACTGAAGCAGTTGAGTCCAAAGATGGTGCTTCATCTTTATTTGCCTTGGAACGGAACCATCGGAACCAGCCAAAACCAGAAGTCTGGAGGGATACAAAAACTTGAATGGAGCATGCTGGGCTTTTCTTCTTCTAGACATAGAAGACATTGAGTCTCTGATCCAGCCATAAGCATATCATAGGGCTTGTTGTGTAAAATAGAAATTATGTAAGGGGCAGGAAGAACCAGAATCTCAAATTTTACTGTTGAGAATATGAGCCTCCCCCAACCTCCTCTTCTTCACCTACAGTGATTTTTCATTCCTGTAATTCTTCTTCTGGTCCAGCATTATGTTTCCAAAAAAACCCAATTAAATATTTCTGAGAAGCCATATGTTGGCATAGAAACAAACAAATTTCCTTTTTGTTCATCCTCACATCAAATCTTGAATGGCATGTTGCCTCCAAACACGGAAGATCCCTTACACTTCCATAGTCTAACTTAATCTGTTCTAATTTCATCTAACCTGAAATCATATATAAACTGAAGCAATATTTTACAGTGGTTCCATGATTTCATGAGTGGATGGTTTCAGATGGCAATAGTGGGAAAGAGAGCTCTACCCCTTACCCACTATGATATGGCGAGACAAAGACTTCTCTCTCTTTCCTGTTTAAAACTGCAGACCTCTATCAGTTTGGGATCAGGTATTGCAATTTTTCTGAATATACCCAGATAGACATCTCTATCCTGGCCAAGCTGGTGATATCAGGATATCATGGGGACCCTGACCAGTGCCTGAAGGCTGTATGGATTGGGAAGAAATAGATTAAAATTGAAGCCCAAGAAAACTGAGTTGCGGTTTGTCCCAAAAATATATGGCAGTGGTTCTCAACCTTTTCTTCATCACAGACTCACTTTAATTACTGTTTATGGCCATAGATCATGGCCACAGACCACCAGGACTTAACTCAAGATTTAATTCGTAACATTTCTTCTTCGCGGACCCCCTGTGATGACATCACAGTCCCCCAGAGGTCCATGGACCACAGGTTGAGAACCACTGCCATATGCTGCCTCTCTCTGAACCAATGATAATTCTGGAAGAAGCAGTCCTCCCTTTGAAATAACAAGTCTATGATTTGTGAATCGCTTAGACTCACGGCTATTGGTGGATAGATAGTGGGAAATTATAATTAAGGGGCCTTTGCTCAGCACTGGGTGGTGCATCACTTGAAGCTCTTCCTGAAGGAGACCTGAAAACCCTGACTCATGCCCTTGTCATGTCCCAGTTCGATTTTTGCAAAGCAGTCTAGATTTCAAGACTACTCAGAGGCTATAACTGCTCTAACTTATCTATTAAAAAATGAGAGTCCGCTGGGGCTTAGGGCTCTACATTGGTCACCAGCAGGTTTCAGGAACAATTTAATATGCTGATTTTGACTTTTAAAACCATTCATGAGTATCTATTTGAAGTAGATTAAATCCATTCAGTTTGTGCATCTTGAGCAGGGAAAATTAGGCTTCCTCCCTCATATAAGGACCATGGAATAGGAGGAGACTTTGTCAATTGCATTTACCCTGTTTATCAACCTCCTTCCAGAAATCCAGATGACCCTATTGCTAGTGACCTTTTGAAAAAAAATTATTTTTAAAAAAATTTATAAATACACAAACACACATTAAAGCAAATAGATACATTTAAGGTAAATAAGTAAATCAACGATAGTCTCTTTTGCTAGATCTAAATTGATTTTCCCAGAACTGAAGCTTGCATAATACTCACTGGAACGTAACAAATGAAAAATATAATACTGTTTATTTTTTAGTTAATTTAAATTGCCTGCCACAATGCAGTTATGTGTTGTATGAATTTCAGCATGGATCAATTACCTACAATAAATCCACCATCTTCAAGATAGACTAGAATATAATCCTAGCATTCACAATTGCATAATTTTCAGATAATACAACTGAAATTTCAACAAGATTGCCTCACCTTCAGTACCTCTTGCTCTGTATTTTCCATTAATTTCTTCTCCGATGAGGTTTCATCCCAGGAGGCTTCTAGGGACTGAGGTGTATCTTCTGAAAGGGTTATTGTGGAACTCTCAGAGACAGTCCGGGTCCGTGAATTGGCCTGACATCAAAGAGAAAACATCAGCACAAGGTAACCCGAATAGATCAGTTCCATAGAGATAACTAAATAATAGCTTTGTTTGTAGCCTAAACCATCCTGTCTTTAAAACTGACACTACTGTAAGTCAAAGTCTTTCCTTATATCAATATCACAGAAAATCTAGTGAGACAGATCAACATTGTTTCCATTCCTATAACGAATCAGTACTGTTAAAGATGGAAAGTGGGAGATAAGTGACTTTCTCAAGACCAACTAGAAACCTTTGGCAGAATTTAGTCCTAGTATTTAAATTTCACACATCCAATTTTATCATAAAACTGCTGCTTTTTATAAGGCATGAGTCACTAGTGGGATGCAAGAAATTGAGATATCCCAATTCAATGATCCCTAACTTTAAAAAGCAGAGTCAGCAAGACAGGTGACATATATAGGAGAGCTAGTTTGGTGTAAGTTAAGATAAGATAACCTTTATTGTCATTTTTTTACTGTGGACACAACGGCACACATCAAAAATGAAATTTAGTTGCCCGCTTTCAAAGTGAAACACGTACATGACACGCCCTAAAAACATACTATATACAACATGTGTATAGACCCACACCCCTACATATACATAACAAATAAATATTAAATACTGTCCATCTTGGATATATAACGGAAGGAAGAAGCTTGAGAGTTCACAAGGTTAATGCTATATGGAATGAAACTATGGCTGAATCTGGATGTTCTGCTGTGGATACCACGAAGCCTCCTCCCAGTGTAGTGGTTAAAGTTCTTGTCTTGCCTAAGGCATGAAAGGTGGCTGGGTGATTTTGGGCCAGTTACTCTTTCTCAGTTCAACCCACCTACCAGGGTTGTTGTTGTGGGGAAAATAGGAGGAGGAAGGAGTATTAGATGTGTTTGCTATCTTGAGTTATTTATAAAAGTAATAAGAGGGAGATAAAAACTGAATAAATAATAAATATATTGTAACGCTCTGACCAAAGGCTTATTAAAATTGCCCACCTGGATGGTTTTGAAACAATAGTTAATCTAGGATTGTTATAGTTTGCCAAAAAAAAAGAAAAAAAATCTTAGATCTGACTCCTGGATCCTGCTACCATCATGGACCTTCTTCTTCTTCTTCCCCTTCTCACCTGATATTCTAGAATGTGCTTCTTTGGCTCACTAGGAAAATGGTCCAGCCCACAAGATTCCACAGTCTCCCCTGCAGATCAAACAAAATTTCAGAGCACTGTTCAAAACTGAGCTCCCGTAAATAGTGGAATAATATCCACAGACCACCCTCATACCCTAGAAACAGCTCTGGGCAATTAAAACCTCTGGCTTCTGACGAAGATACATTGATACGTATGTAACTAAGTAGACAAAAACAGGTAAGAAACATTTTCACATAGAAACCTTCCTCATTCCAATTTTATTTGGGAGAAGAAAAACATCCTTTCTGTTATGACAATTACAGCTCCTTCATTATTTTCCAAAGAATGTTAAACAATGTTAATTTTTCCTCATGTATCACTGTGTTAGATCCGGTTTTGTTAGAGCAGCTGAGAAGGTAAAATAAACTTTCTGACAGACTTATGAGGAATTGAACATTTGGTCTAGCATTGTAACAGTATCACTATTTACAGAAGCTTAGGAAACATATTTCAACAAACAAGCAGGCACACTCATGCAGGATGGTCCACCCTTCCATTAGGCTTTCCCTGTTTTTTTCCCCTGATGAAAAAAAAAGCACTGATATCCCATGAAGCAGGAGTGCTGAAAAACTTAGAAAAGAGGAGGAGAGTGCACTCCCTCTCCTGGCCAAAAAAAGTCAAGGCTTTTTTTTTCAACCTGTTATTTCTGTTTGTTTTTAATATCTGGGCTACTAATCTAGGAGCAGAAAGAAAGAGATACTTGTCTCTTCCTTCTGTCCTACTTTAGTAAAACTCTGCTCTCTGATCTTTCATATTTTCATCGGCCTCTGTTTGGAAACATCCTGTGGGAAAAAAAATTGAATTGGAACCTGGACGAGTAAAAAAAAATAAAAATATATTTCGTAGCAGGACCTGGCTCTTTATTTGCAAAGCAACAAAAACATCAAACCAGTGTGAGTAATGTCACATCTATTTTGGTCTTCAATTTAATGTGCTTTTAGAAAGCAGGCAAACAAACAAAAAAAGGTCTCATTGTTCCTTAGCAGCTATTTTGTAGACTTTTCCTGAATCCAATCTGTGACCTGATTTCCCTATATAATTTCCTTCTCCTAAAAGCAATCACAAATGGCAACTGAAGATCAAGACAAATTGTGCTATGGAGAAAATAAGGTATATGGACCGGGACTCTGGCCCAGAAGAATTACCAGCATGCATCCCCAGTGGTAACGCTAAACTAAACTGGAAGATCTCCAGAGCTTTTAGGAACAAAAGACACAGAAAGACCCATCATCAATCTCAGAGATGATATCTAACTTGACCCAGAGCAGCATTTAGATCCAAGCAAGAACATACAGGAATAGTTTGGAAATTGGCAGAATTGTTGCAGTACCATCTTTGGAAATAATGAAATGCTTACTAAACAAGCACCAGGGTATTGTGGTGGTGGTGGTGGTTAATCTTCAAATCAATTTACAGTCTGGGACTGGTAAAAATTTAACAGTTCAAGTCCTAACCAAGGACCTAAGAGCTATTAAGGCAACATCTGAGTATACAGTATAGGCAGTTCCAAGTAGGGTAGGATTTTTTGCAAAGATATTCAGGTCTAATAAATTCAGGTCTAATATTCAGGATATTCAGGACTAATAAATTCAAAATTTCTAGGCAACCCTTTGGGTACTGCTGCAAGGGTTCATTCTACTATTGACACAACCATTGATTTCTTCCTTCACAATCACTCAAATTCAATTTGCAAATCGCACTATTTTGTTATTTTTTTCTAGCTGTTTCTCAATAGGATAGGATAGGATAGGATAGGATAGGATAGGATAGGATAGGATAGGATAGAGCTGGAAGAGACCTTGGAGGTCTTCTAGTCCAGCCCCCTGCTCAAGCAGGAGAACTATACCATCCCAGACAAGTGACTATCTAGCCTCTTCTTAAAGATCTCCAGTGATGGAACGCCCACGATTTCTGAAGGCAAGCTGTTCCACTGGTTAATTGTCCTCACTGTCAGGAAGTTTCTCCTTAATTCCAGGTTGCTTCTCTCTTTGATCAGTTTCCAATCATTGTTTCTTGTCCTGCCCTCCAGTGCTTTGGTGAATAATGTGACCCCCTCTTCTTTGTGGAAGCTCCTCAAGTACTGGAATACTGCTTTCATGTCTCCTAGGGGAAAGAAATAGGTTTCTTCTTTTCTTTAGACTAGCCAAAACCAAGTCCTGCAGCCTTTGATCATCTTAGTTGCTCTTCAATGAATTTTTTCCAAACTTTCAACATCTTTTTTGTGATATGGTGACCAAAATTGGCTGCAATATTCCAGGTGTGGTTTTACTAGGGTTTTATAAAGCGGTACTAATACTTCGTGTGATCTTGATTCTATGCCTCTGTTTATACAACCCAGGATTGTATTAGCTTTTTTGGCTGCTGCTGCACACTGCTGGCTCATGATTAAGTGATCATCCACTAGGACTCCAATAACTCTCACAGTTACTGTTTTTAAGCCAGGTCTCACCTAATCTGTACTTGTACCTTTGATTTTTCCTGCCTAAATGTAAAACTTTGCTTTTCTCCACATTGAAACTCATTTTGTTGGATAGGGCTTATTGTTCAATTTTGTCAAGATCTTTTTGGATCCTGAGTTTTCTTCTGGGGTGTTGGCTACTCCTGCCAGTTTGATGTCATCTGCAATTTGATGAGTTCCCCTTCAATTTCCTCATCTAAGTCATTTATGAAAATATTGAAGAGTATTGGGCCTAAGACGGAACCTTGTGGTACCCCACTGCTTACTTCTCTCCATGTGGATGTAGTGCCATTGAGGACTACTCGTTGAGTACGGTTTGTCAGCCAGCTACAGATCCATCTAGTGGTGATGTTGCCTATTCCACCTTTTTCTAGCTTACCAAGGAGGTAGGTTGTGGTCTACTTTATAAATGCCTTACTGAAATCTAGGTATACTACGTCCGCTGCATTTCACTGGTCTACTAGTTTAGTCACTTTATCAAAGAATGAGATCAGATTGGTTTGGTTCAATTCATGCATCCCCTGGTATGGCAATATCAATGAATCAGACTGTTTCTTTTCCACAATACTGATATCAGGAGTTCTGTGGACCAGATGTCTGTCTGTTTGGGATCTGAAAGTCCCATATTATGCAGTAGGCGTTCAAGGAACAAAAACAGCAATGAGGTTTTACAAGTTTATGGAACAATCCCAGGATTTCAATGATTTGCTGTAAAACAGTTGAGCAGAAAAAGACCAACTAAAGTGGAATGGAAAGACACAGGCAGGTGGATCTCTGGCCTGCATCTCCCTGCTTAGATATCTCTTATTTTCCCCTCTTTGGAAGGTTTTCATTACATTATTTTCTCCTGTTACGCAGTCTTCAAACTCACCCATCAAAACATCTCAGCCTTCTCTCTCAAAGAATCCATGTCTTTCCTAGATTCCCTAAAATCCAAAGAGACTTTGGAATTTAATATCAAAATAAGGATTGTCTTCCTGCCTCCTCCCATTCAAAGCTAAAAAAGAAACCATTTAATGCATAAATAAAGTCTGGCATTATCAACAATATTTGCCAAAAGAGACAGGCCTGAAATTAGTTATCTGAATTGCGTTTTAAGTGTAGAATTTCACTTGTCTAATTTAATTATTTTTAGATCATTGCAATCAGGAAAGGGAGAACATCGTGGTTTATCAAATGTACTTAAAACTGAAATTCTATTTAAAATTCTTTGGTTGTCTTTGTTCTATTCTTGAATGAACAATTATTCCTGTTCTTTTGTGCCTTCCTTAAGTAGTATATACTCCACTACAATAGAGAGAGAGAGAGAGAGAGAAAGAGAGAGAGAGAGAGAGAGACTTTATTTTGATATACTGTATTTTTCTAGATTAAATATATTTGTTTCCTTCAGTACTTTCTTCACTCTCTGCCTCCAATGTCCTTGAACTCCACTAGAGGAGAATAAAGTGCAATAGGAACAAACTGTAAGGGTGGCCTATTGTTCTTTACAATTAAAATCAACTCACAGAACATCATGGATAACTACTACAGAAGCACCCATCTTTACCTGATGGTTGTTTCAGATGTGAGGAAGGATCATTTGAAAGGCCTCCTGAAGACAAAGTGGAACTGTGGTCATTTTCTGCTAAACAAGCCTCTAAACTAGCAGGTGTCCTCTCTGAAGGATATCCATGTCCAGAACAGATATGCAGCTGTTGATCCACATCTGGTTGGTGCCCACTTGAATTAACAGGTGACGGGTGTCTATAAGGCTGATGCTGTAGATTCTCCCAGCATACCTCAGCTTGTTCAAATTCAAAATGAGGAGCTAAACCTGATAATACAAGTCTGAATATTAGTATTATTCCCAATTGATAGATCAGGAACAGAGGTGAGGAACTAATGGTCTTATTAAGGTTAAAAAATGACATTCTTAAATGGGTTAATTTAAAAGAAGATTGGCCTTGTAACTATAATTTGTAACCATAACTGCTGAAAGGTTTAAATGTCTAGAAAGCATGTTTAAAATCAGACTGCAAATAGGATTATCTCTTCCACCAATAATTCTCAGATATAGTGCCACTATGCAAAACTGATGAATATACTTAAAAAAAGCAAACGGCTCTCTGAAAGAGTTGTAGAAAAGAGAGGGAGAACAGAATTAGATTCCAAAAATCAGATTCATTCTTTTTAGAAGCAACCTTCTTTATACTGTCATGCATTGGGCCACAATTCTCCTCATCTCCCCTGACCCCCCAAAAAAGCCATGGCCAAAAGCTATTGTTTTTAGAAGGCTTTATAGGGGTCACAGTATGACTACAGAGGAGAAAAATATAGTCTTATGAATTTCATTATGTTTCCTTCCATCTCTCAATAAGAGAGATGCTTACTGATTCAATAAGATACATTCTTAAACAAATACCGTACATATGCAATTACAACTGCAGACTTTCGATCTAAATCCCTTTTTCCAAGTGGCACGTATACTTGAAACCAACTCAGTTTTCAAATCAAACTTGAAAGAGTTTGAAAGAACACACCTTCTGGGTACACCTGCCACAATTTGTTCTTTCATTCTTTTACCTGATATTGATCCATTGCCTCTGCAAACCTCTAGCTGGGTGGATGTAGTGTTGGGAAACCCTCTTTGATCCTTAAATTAGATATGAGAGAAAACACACATAAAATACAAATCCTGATAATGGTGTAAGCTCTGAGGCACAGGTAAGAAAGGGCAAAACAGAAACTCCCAGTATAAAACCCTCAATTTCAACGTCAGAATAACATCTTTATCTATTTGTTTATTTAGTTACTTATTCATTCCAGGTATATAGCTGCCTGCTTGCCAAACAACTCACAGTGGCTAATATTGTTTAAAACATTAAATGCAAAGAAAATATAAAGAATAAGTCATTGGAAAATAAAATACACTGCTCAAGGAATTAGATACACAATGCTAATAATTTCAATTGCCTACCTCTGAGGTAGGAAACAGAGCACTAAATAATACCTGGGGATTATTCTACCCCCTATATGGGGATTAGTCTACTCCAGGGGTTTTCAAACCTGGTCTTTGTATGACTTGTGGACTTCAACTCCCAGAATTCCTCAGCCAGTGTGCCTGGCTGAGGAATTCTGGGAGTTGAAGTCCACAAGTCATACAAGGGCCAAGTTTGAAGACCCCTGGTCTACTCCATGCAAGGTTGCTATTTCCAGCTATACAAAGCAGTTTCTACTTGTATTGGCTTTTGAATCACTTTGCCTCTACAGTCCTGGGTTTCCTATTTGAAGACAAGGAACCTGAAACTTATGATAAAGGTTGAACATTGACATCCTTTGATATTAATTCAAATTCTGCATTTGGGGCTGCTGGCAAATTTATCCAGTTTGACCATGTTTCTGGAAATTCCTGAAAATAAAAAGACTGCTGCTTTTAAAAATTAATCTGATGTCACTCCACCTAACCCCTCTGGAACAAGGCAGTTTATAAATCTTATGAATGAATGAATTTGAGACATAGGACATTGTCTCCTGCATGGCTTGTTCTGACCTTCTATTCTGGTCATCTAATTTGATATACATTTGAGATCCTGGGAACCCAATGTCATATAGGTTAGGACTACTTTTATTATATATTATATGTACAATATGGTCTGTATGTATGTGTCTATTAGAAATTCATTTTGCCACTTGGACCACTTTTCCCCCCACTCAGTTTATAAACAGTGGCAGCTCTATTATGTGCAGTTACATTTCTCTAAACAATTCAAAACACTGCATGCACAGAAGCATACATACATATCTACATTCTTTACTGCAATCACTGATCCAGATACATTAACAAATAAAAGAATATAAAAGCAACCATCCATTTCTTCTGAAAGTTTCAGTAAATCTGGATCACAAATTTTAGCAGATGCCAAGATAAAATACCTGCCGCTATATATTCAGTATGAGAGTTACAATATTTCAAGGACAAGACTCAGGCCTCTCATTGGTACCCAAGCCAATTTAAATAACTGCAACTTATCAGGGAAATCCAATTCTTTCTAGTCTGCATATGGCTCTAAGGATTCCACGCTCCCATGAAACATTGCCTTCAATTTGGGCATATTGTGTTTCTGGATATATAAATGTTTTAGAAAAGGTTATTGACTTCAGCTCCCTTTTAAGTTTTTGAAGCATTCCTCCTCCTATTTCATAGCTGCTATTGTTGGGAATTATAATAATAGGATGCAGGTTGACATTATAGAATACCAATAACAGGGCTGCTGACACTTCTAAAAGCTTTATCTTATATCTGTCCCCACCATCAAATGATATATTTTGAGCAGTATATTTAAAGTTAGTTGGTAAAGTCTTCAGTTAAAAGTAGAAATCTTTCAAAATACTGCACCATGCCCTGAATCTCCCTACTTCAATTAAAGGTAGTAGAGAAGTTTATTCTTAAAATAGCTTCCACTTTATTTGGATGTGGGCTCATTTTATATTCATTTCTGCAATGTCCCAGGTATGTAAACTCTTCCAAGCACCAGAGGAATTTATATTATGCTTATTCTATTTGAAAATTACAGCTTTTACAGGACCTAAAACTTTGGGCAATCTCAGTCAAGTCCATTAGACTAAGTTGCCTTTCCTGAAAATCAAAATATCTTTCAAACGATATAGATGTTTTCCATTGTAACAACCCAAGAGACCTAAAAATTCCTGTTGTCTTTTAAAGAAAATTCTACCAAATGATATAAGTCAGCCTAAGACAGTGGTTCTCAACCTGTGGGTCGGGACCCCATTTGGGGTCGAACAATCATTTCACGGGGGTCGCCAAACAACGCAGTCCGCCATTTTCCCCCCCTTTTCCTTAGCTGTGCTACTCCCTTTTATTCTATTGGCTTTTGAAAGCCAATAGAATAGACTCTCTTGAATAGAGTCTAATTCTATTGGCTTTCAAAAGCCAATAGGAATTGTCCAGGCTGTCTCTGCCCTGCTGAGCCCGCCAAAAGTCCCATTCTGCAAACGGTGCTGCACCAGTTGAGTAGTCCTCGACTTACGACCGGTTGAGTAGTCCTCGACTTACGACCGGTTGGGGGGTGCGGCATTAAAAAGGTTGAGAACCACTGGCCTAAGATGAGCCTAATCTACTGGCAGGCTTTTGCAAATCATTGAAGAATGCTGCTTCTATTGACAAGAACATGTTTCTCTCTTTTTATGACTTTGTACAGTTTTTTAAATTTGTAAGTACATGCACAGCTTCTTGGCATGCATTAGTTTGCTACAATCATTTAGTTACTCCATACTGAGCCCTCTTTTCCAATTCTGCTTTTATTTTGACAGTAACGAGTTTGATATTCTGGCCAGCTGAACTGCCTAGGCAAAAATTCTTTCTTTAAGCTGTAGTTTACTGAAAGAATCTTTATGGTTTCTTTTTCCTTGCAAGACTCTATGTTGTTTTTCCTCATAAACATATTATTTCAACAGATGCCTCTTTGCCCATTTACTTTCTTTGCCTCTGTGCTGAGTAGTATCTATAAATACTCCTAGGCAGCCTAATTTCTTGCTGCCAAAGTTGTTGTAGTCAGTTGGAGACAATGTGCATTCTGGAGCTTTTTTAGACAACTTCTGAAAATCCATTTTCTTTAGTTTTTATATCAGCTTTAAACCCAATGCACAGCTGTTGGTCTCCAAGACACTTCTCATGATTTGGCAGAATCATCAAGCTTGCAACTGGTTCTCCCCCCCCAAAAAAATCCTCATTATGTATTGCATGTATTCTCACTTTAGAATGCAGCTGTGGCCTCTTTATTTATATCTGTAACATTCAGCAATTTTAGCATGACATTCTAAATGACTCCTGTGCATGTCCCTTCCCACAAAAGTACTTAAGTCCTTCAGTTAAATTACTGTATATTCTTGTGACTGGGGAATAAAGTTTGTCGAACCAAACTTTTTGTCTGCTTTCCTTCTGTAACAGGATTGGACAAAGAGTGGGCAATGTCCTCTGTAACAAGAATGGGCAACTTTTAAGGATGCATCAAGCCTTATGACACACTATAAAGGTGATTTGCTCCAGGATTGATTATGAAAGTTTGGGAAGAGAGAGTTTAAGGAATGAACCCCTAAAATCAGTTTTAAACTTCTCCAGAACTCCCTTTTCAAACCCTTTTATTAAAAAATAAGATATGAATAGTTTGGCTGCAATAGTCTTGGGACCAGAAAAAATTGCTATCAGACCTGGCAAAAAAATTTGCACCCATCCTTTGTAGATTTGTTTGGATGGCTGTGCTTTTTAGCAAACTTCTACCAGCCTCTTTAATAATCTTGCTCTTAAAAAGCTCCAAGCATACCCCTTATTAAAATAAAAACAGCGGCATCCACACAGAGAACTGGTTGTTCACATTTTTGAATCCCACCACTGCACAAGCTGTCTTGTGGATTTCTTGGGCATCCAAAGTTCATCAAATTTTCTCAAGAGAAACTAATCACCTTAACCAGTGGCAGCAGAAAAGCTCAGACATTTAACAATCTGCACCATCTGGGCCTCCATACCATAAACGATAGTGCATGTCTAATTTTACCCTTCTCTTGCATTCTGGTTGATGGCCATTCTGGAACCTGTTTCCAAGCAGTGCTATTAAAATCAAATCCATCTGCAAATTATAGGACTTCACATGACTGAAGTACTACTTATGCAGCCTGTAACACTGCAGAATGGTTAAGAGTTCCAACTCCTATTTTTCTTTTCATATTTTAAAACCCTGAGACTTTAAGTTAAACAATTCTTTAGCTGATTTATATTTAAATAAATATATGAATTGCTTCTCTTCCTAACTAACTCTGCCTATTTTTTTCTTGGGACAGGTTCTTCCTTACCACAAATATAAAGAATTGACTCCTCCTTCCCCTATTCACTGCATAGGATTACATTTCACTATAGAGCTCCATTGTAGTGAAAATAAAATATATGTAGATGCCAATCTGAACCACTATCAAAATAATTGGCTTCAGTTGGAGAAGCTAATAGTTAGTTAAATTTCACACCAGGCATGGCAATAAATCTTAGCTCACCAGAACTCCATATTCAGGAGTAGGAAGTTATTTACAGAAGAAGTTTCATAGATACAACGTGGCTAGATAAATTATTGTAGTCAAGTTAGCACACAGAAATTGATCAGGCTTGGTTTGCCTGTGTGTTTGTGTTTCTATGTATCTAGCTAGTGTGTATCTATTCCAGGGTTTAAATTTTAGATCTTTTTCTCCTGCCTTTTTAAGTCAGTGGAAGTTCTGTCATCCTCTTCCTAGCCTTGATAATGAAGGATATGTATTCAATGCTTACATGACAGTTCTGACTGACCTGAGAATCAGTAAGTTCCCATCTCCTCAGCTTCAAATGTTGAAAAAGAGTCAGTCCTTCAGTTGAACTACATTCCTGGTGACCAAATGGACCCATCATGAGGCTTTTTTGGCAACGATACAAAAGCAGTTTGCCACTTTGACTACCATCTCTAACCTATAGTCCTGAGACTTTCTGGCTGGCTCCCATCAAAGTATTAATTAGGTCTGGTCCCACTTTGCTTTTTTTTTTAATCTGTGAGTCAGCTAGGTATTGTGGTATGTAGATTCAATTTTTAAAAAACACCCTAAATTTCAAGTCTGCTCGCCTCAGAATACTGAAGTCCAACTCAGTTTAAAAGTAATACATTCAATAAACGACAATTAAGTAGAAAACAGAAAACAGTCAGATATTTCTTAGACCCAGATCTTGACTTTCATCCCTAGGTTTGAAAAAAATAAAAATACTTTTCCCTGATCATCAAATGGTCTCTGTAACCAGGAGAGCCAACTGGGTGACTTTGGGCCAGTCACTCTCTCTCAGCCTGACCCACCTCCCAGGGTTGTTTTTGTGGAGAAAATAGGGCAAGGAAGGAGTATTAGATGCCTTGAGTTCACTCCCTTAAGGTATCTATAAAAATAATAAAGGGATAGCAAAAAAAAAAATAATTCCAGTAACATGTTGATGTTGCATCATTCAATTCAATCTGAGTGGCCAGAATCACAAAATCACTAATCAATCCATCTGCAAAGGCACACCATCCCATAATTCTTACCTCCCACTGTTGATAACGGGCTCTGAGTTCAATGAGCCAATCTGGTTCCAAATCCATCTCATACTCTGCCTTCTCCAGGAGTCGTGGGTCAGAGTACTTTAATCGTTCTGCTAGCTATTCCATTGGAAAATAGAAAAGAAGAATTAGTCACCAACCTATTAGAGACTTTTTAAGCTATATGACAAAGATTTTTTTTAAATGAAGCAAATAAATTGTGGGCAGAAGAGAGTCATGAGTCTAGTCTAATCTATCTTTGACTCTACAGACATTGCATTGCCTACAAAACCAAAGATTATATTCTATTAAAACCTTTTGATGAGCAAATAAAGGGAGGAAAGCCACAAAGTGTCTAGAAAAGTCCAGGTTTTGTGGATTCTTTATAAGAACATCTCTATTTGGGTATGATTATTTTAAGTTCTGGGTTTTTTGGGGAGGGCTAAATTCAGTATTTTTCAAAGATGATGAGTCATTCTTCACAAGCAATTCATCAGAAAATAAGCCAGGTTGCAGCTGTAAGAAAATATTAAGATCAGCTCAGTTGCAATCTGGCTTATTTTCTAACAGAACTGGAATATGACCTCAGGCCAGGAACTGCATTTTAAGAATCTGAAAAGTGAATAATACTACATTATATAAGTGGGCAGGGCTGGGTCTGGGGGGGGGGAATCATTGAGGGCTTTATTGATAGATACATTTAGGGCTTAAACTTCTGTTTTCATCTGCTTTGCATTAATATTGCAAGAAACTATGCCTTAGTTTCCAGTGATTGTAGTCAAAGAAAACCCTGTGGATATACAAAAGGGACTTGGGGATTACAAGTATATTTATTTATTTATATCCCACCTTTATTATTTTTATAAATAACTGATGCTCCTAGAATTATTACTCCTACTATAAGTTGCCCTATTTGCCCTAAAACCTTGTTTAAAAAAGAATGTGCCATAAATAATGCTAGCTCATTAGTATCATCTAAAATTAATATCAAGCTTTGCTAATAAGAATGAACGCTGTTTTCTCCTCCTGCTTTCTGCTTTGCAAGGAGTTATATGTTCTAATTAGTGAGGGAAACAGATCTTAATATGCTAGCATCATTCACATTTCCAAAGAATGCTCAGCCATGTTGCTTTGTCACAGTATGCCTTAAAATGTCTTTTGTACAAATTAATTTAAATTGCCTGAAAACAGCTTAATGTCATGGCTCCGACAGATGAAACTCTTCAAAAGAACTTCGAGGCATTGTTTACCTTAAAGAATCTTTTATTCGAGAAACAAAGTATCGGCACTACATAGTTGAAGCCAAAAACTGAATTCCCCTCCCCTGCGCACAAAGTAGCAAAGCACAATTCCCTCCTCCAATTAACAGTCTTAAATCACATTCCCTAATTAGCTTGAAGTGCAGACTTTCTCCCCAGCTCTCCAGCCCACCAAATCTTTATCAACTCTGGGTACAATAACCTTGGATTCCCTCGGCTGAGTTATTATTGTTATGATTAGCTGGACTCTCATCCACATTCCCCCTCCCAGCATCAACTAAGTCTAAAAACGAAAAAGAAAAGATGGCTACATTTCCGTCTGTTGTCAAAGCAAGAACATCCAATGTTAGCAGTACTGATATCCGCCCCCCTTACAAAAAGGACAAATCCTGTAATGTAAACCAAAGCACAGGTTAGGGGTTGCCTCTGGGTTTATTAGGGTGTTTCTTATAGAACCTATTAATTAGTCTGTCAGCTTTTACATCACTAGATTTCACCCAGGTGGCCTCAGACAATGGATATCCCTTCCATTGCACTAAGTACTGCAATTTCTCCTTAAAAATTCTAGAATCAAGAATATGCTTTACTTCATAGTGAGTCTGTCCTGCCACCACAAGGGGTCTGGGTGCCTGCTTAGGGGAAGATCTTAAGGTGGAACCCGGAAAAGGTTTCAACAGGCTACAATGGAAAACAGGGTGAACTTTTCCTAAGAGCCTAGGAAATTTTAATTCCACGGTGACCGGGTTAATGATTTTTACAATGGGGAAGGGTCCTAAGTACTTCAGTCCTAACTTCTTATTAGGTAACTTAAGCCGTAAATATTTAGTTGACAGATAAACCTTTTCCCCAACTTGGAATGTTCTTTCAGGAGCACTTTTTTTATCTGCCTGTTTTTTGTATGTCTCAGAAGCCTTTTTCAAAGCAGTTTTCGTGGTTTTCCAAACTTCCTCCCACCCATTGATCAAGAGTCTGGGAAGCAGAGGTCACTTAGGGGTATTTCTCTTTTCCTGAGGCCACTTTAAAAGGCATGAAGCCAGTGCTGCTGTGAACAGAGTTATTGTAAGCCACCTCTGTGAAAGGGAGGAGATCAGTCCAGTTTGTTTGTTGATAATTTACATAGCATTGAAGATACTGCTCCACCATTGAGTTCGCAGATTCACCCCATTGGTAGATGGGTAAAAAATTGATGATAGTCCTTGAGATGAGGCAATTAGTTTAAGAAAACTCCTCCAAAACCTAGCTGTAAACTGCAACCCGTCAGAGATTATTCGTTTAGATGCGCCATGCAGTCTGTAGATGTGTTTCAGAAACATTTTGGTTAGTTGTTGGGCAGATGGGAGCCCTTTGCAGGCAATGAAGTGAGACTGCTTTGAGAACAGATCTATCACAGTCCAGATGACTATATTTCCCCTACTTTCAGGTAGATCTACTATAAAATCCATAGCAATTTCTTCCCATGGTTGGGAAGGGTCTGCCACCGGTTGCAATAACCGAGGAGTTTTCCCCAGAATTCTTTTCATAGTGACACATACAGCACAACTCCAGACATAATTTTCTACACCCCATTTCAGTCCCAGCCACCAGAATTGACAGCGGATAAGGTGTAGTGTTTTTAAATATCCAAAGTGCCCAGCCTGTTTTACATCATGGCCATGTCGGAGTGCATTAAGGCAGAAAGTCTCTGGCAAATATAGTTTTATCCCTTTGTAAGCCAAACCATCCCTGCATGTTAGGGAGGTTTGATTGTCTTTGAACCAGTGGTCAGTGAGAAGCCCTTGTTTTATTTTCTTTGCCCCAGGGTCATTGGGATTAGGGGCTCTTGGAGGTGGAACTGTGTGGCGTACGTTGAGAAGCAGCTTGTGGATTGGAGATAATTGTCTCATTAACTTCTTTACACTAGCTTTTGTACTGGGGAAGTCTGGATAGGGCATCAGCTAAGAAGTTTTTTCCTCCCGGTATGTACTTTAGGGTGAAGTTAAAATGGGTAAAGTACTGCGCCCATTGTTCTTGTTTCAGGGACAATTGCGGGGAGTCTTTAGTGCTTCTAGGTTTTTGTGATCAGTCCATACCTCGAAAGCCACTTTACTTCTTTCTACATAGTGTCACCAGTTTAATAGAGCCCAACGGATTGCAAAAGCTTCCTTTTCCCACACAGCCCACCTCCTCTCACATTCAGTGATTTTTTTCAAAGGGTAGTCTCAGGGTTGTAGGGTCCCACTCTGGTTCTTTCGCAGTAGCACAGTTCCAACAGCCACATCGCTGGCATCAGCTTGAATACAAAGGGCTTCCCTGGGCAAGGATGTTTTAAGACCGGTTCGAGCACAAATAGACTTTTTAAATTTTCAAAAGTGGTTTGACAGTTCACAGTCCATGCTAGTGGTTGGCCTGGATGCAGCTTTCCTCCCTCTTTGCCTGTTTTTAGTAATTCCGTAAGGAGCAGGACAATTTCAGCAAAGGAGGGAATGAATTGACGGTAGAAGTTGGCAAATCCTAGGAAGCTCTGGAGCTGTTTGTGAGTCTTTGAGGGCTGCCATTCAATTACGACATTCACTTTGGTCGGGTCCATTTCAATGCCCTCACTGGAAATTCTGTAGCCAAGATAATCTAGTCGGGTCTGGTGAAATTCACACTTTGATAGCTTAATATAAAGTTGGGCGTTCAACAGTTTCTTTAGAACTTCTCACACTAGTTTTATGTGGTCAGCTATATTCGTGCTATATATCAGGATGTCATCAAAATACACCAAAACTCCTTTGTATAAATGGTCATATGGTAGCTGATTAATCAGCTGCATGAAGACAGCTGGAGCCCCTTGCAGTCCAAAAGGCATGACTTTAAATTGGTAGCTCCCCATGGGACAGTTAAAAGCAGTCTTCCACTCATCTCCCTCCTTTATACTCACCCGGTAATAAGCCTCTCTTAAATCCAACTTAGGGAAGACCCTCCCCTTTGCCAGGTGGGTAAGTCCTTCAGGAGGGGGAGGGGTATTTGTTTTCCATGCTCACCGCGTTCAGACCTTTATAATCTATGGAGAGACGAAGCAACCTGTCTTTTTTTCTTTAAATAACCCCCGGGGTCCTATGGCAGACTTGGCCCATTCGATAAATCCCCTTGCTAAGTTTTTGTCCACATACTGCTGCATTCTTCCATCTCAAGGGAGGACATAGCATACACTCTTAGCCGTGGGAGTTTGGCTCCCGATAACAGTTCGATAGAGCAATCATTAGGTCAGTGGGGAAGCAGGGTGTTGCGTTCTTTCTCACTAAACACCTCCCCTAGGTCCCGGTATTCACTGGGGATGAGTGGCTTGCCTGGCTGAGACAAGGCAGCCACGTGCGCTAGCTCATTGTGTGGGCTAAGTCTCCTGTAATGTCCGTCAGGTTAAAGGGGGGCTTGGGTCCTATAGGTAACCTCTCAGTCCTCATTCCCTTCTCCCACCAGATAAATGGCTTCCATCTGTCCAACCAGGCTAGTCCTAGGATCACAGGTTTAGTCATTTTCGGAGCCACCATGAAACGAATGAACTCCCAATGCTCACCTATTTCTAAGCATAGGGGTTCAATCAATTGCGTGACTAAAGTTCCTCTTATTAGGGAACCATCGGCTTGCTCAAACCTCACGGGTTTGGAGAACAGCCTTGCTCATATGCCCATTTTCAGGGCAAGTGATAAGCTAATAATACACCGGGAGCATCCGGAGTCGACTAGTACTTTTAAATATACTATGTCCCCGTCTTAGGGATTATGAGTTTGGCAGGTAGTGAGAAAGATGGAACGTGTCAACTCACCATCGGGTCGTTCTCTCCTTTGTCGTTGTTGTCGTAGGAGGGTAGAGCAGCGGCAGGTCCGGCTTGGGTCTCGG